TATATATATATATATATATATATATAGAGTTGTGACTCTCGAGTTTTTTAGTTTAAGATGTCTTTTGAAAAGGTAAGAGTATATATTTGTACTCTGTATACCTTAGATGTGCATATTTTTGAAGCACTTCTTATTTGATATCTCGGACTCCTTTTGCTTTGCTGATTGGTGGACTTGGTTCCAGATAAGGATGAAGAAGATAATTTGATAAGGCTTTTTCTCCACCAAATACATTTCTGTTTAGCATTACCACGCACTAACTGTGTGGCAAAGAGAGATTCTTATTAAAATGTTAATAAAGCTGGTACTTCACTGACTTTTTTGTGGCATGAAGGGATGTTTCTTTTGCTTTTATTTCGGTTTGTTATACTAAGTGGCTTTGTTTTTTTTTTTTTACTTTCATTTGTTCTTTCTTTTTCAATTACACTTATGAACCATTTTGAGCCCGCCCACACCTTTTTCGGGCAGGGAAGATTGAAATGAAAGCTGCATCGTACAACTTTGCAGATGAATAAACTAATAATGCTTTAAAGCAAAACTTTCATAACAAATCTTCAGTGATTAAACCATCGGGGTTCTCTTCCCTCTCTTCGTAGCCTTCAGAAGCAGTTGAAGACGGACTTGTCATTATAAAACGCGCCGGACTACTGTAAAAACAGTGTGTTTTTTCAGTCTCGGAATGTCTTTCCGCTCGTAATTTCCAAATCTGAAAATTAACCATCGCAAATTTGTGATATGTTATTGAGCGGAACACTTTACACAAGATATGTTTTTTTCCCAAAGAATTTGAAGGCACTTTCTTCTAAATATTTCTTTGAAATTTTTTTTTTTTATATCTGTAAGGCTACTTGGCGGAATAAAATTATTTTATTTTAAAGAGTAAGACGTGAAAATTATCTGTTGAGCTAAACTTTTCCAAATTCTGCTGAGGTTTAGCTGAGTTACAAATTTCCGAAGATGAGCATATCAAGTAGCGATCTGGTAATTTTTTACAACTGAGGGTCATTGAACTTGGCAAGGAATTCATTTTTTCAGGTTCTCTCTTCGGTCTTCTGCATGCTGGCCTAGATCCTAATAATTAGGAAAGTTTGAAAAAATTAAGATGTTAAGTGAGGAAAGTTTTGCGGACGTGCTTAGAAAGCTTCTTACATAGACCTTGCTTTTTTAAAGTCAGTGTTTGTTCATCTTCTTTATATTGTATATCTGGAAGAGAAGTAGTTTAAATATTTCAGTCTTAGAATTTCGTATTCGTCTCAATACAAGAAAGTTGCTAGGCTAGGTTTTTGCTTTTAGTGACTGTGGCGTGTCATTCTTACAGTTGTTTCATGCAGCGCTCATTTGAGAAGCTGTAGCGTATTAGTTGGAAACTGAATTTTGCAACTGTGAATTTGTAGATATGGGAAGTTGAGATCTGTCCAAATTTAAGCCTTTCGGCAGTATTTCAGTCGTTTTTTCCGGTTGGATTATGCGATAGCTTAATAAGTTTTACTTAGGTAGTGGGGAGACAGTGGCTATTTAGATATTCTTTGGCTTGTCTGAAGTGGTTGAAAAGAGGTATTGAAGTTTTCCTTGGAAGTTTTAGTAAATTGTTTATGATCGTAAAACTGTGTGAAGTGGTACAGAAAATTTCGCATTTTTTTTTTAAGTTAGTTTTTTGAAAAATAATCTGCATATTTTGAGCTCAGCGTTTTATGTTCATCATTTTTCCAAATGCTGACGAACCATCTTAGTTTTTGGGCTGGTAATGTTTTTAAACGTAGATTTTCATGGTCTTTTACCTTTTACGAATTTTTCGTTTGTAGGGGCATAACAGCTATATGTCGTTGGTTTTTGACAATGAGCAATCAAGCAAATTGGTTCCAGCCTACATAAGATCACCGCGCCTGAAATTTCGTATTTAGAAGCCAACTGACTGCTTTTTGTTTTATCTTTAACTTCACTGAACTGAAATTGAGTCTTGTATTATTATTATTTTTTTTTTTTGAGAGGGACGAGGGAGAAGGGTTGAGAGGGTTTTAGTCGGTCCTACGTCTTCTGATGAAGTTGAGTAAATTAATCTTGTCTTTTGGTTTTTATAATT